ATATCCTTTTAAAACGGAGAATCTGGGATTTTATGATGCCAGAGAACGTATGTTTTGGGTGAAAGGAGCTTTTGAACAATAATTGATGTGTGTCGGTTTCTTTTAAAAAAATACTTTAGTTTCCAATTGGACTGTGTCTTTGGTGTTGCTACTTATAAAAACGGTAGTGTCAATGAAATCTATGCTTTTATGACTTACATTTACGGTTAATTTGACAGATGGATGATGATTGTTCAGAATATTGAAAAACGTCCAGAATTCGTCTCGTGTGTACATCCAGACTACGAAAACGTCATCTAAAAACGTCCGTAGAAATCTGGTTTTAATGGGCAGAGTGGCAAATCTTCTTTTTCCCACTCCGCCATGAAAAGATTTGCATAACTCGGGGCAAATCGTTTTCCCACCGCAGTTCCCGAAGACTGGAGGTGTCGTTGAAGGCGAAGTCATTCCTCCTCTGAGGAATGTCGAGTAATCTGAGGATTTCTTCGTCCGGTCTGGCTGCTTGCGGGCTCCTGAGAAATGCTTTCCTAACTGCTTCAACTCCTATGGTATTATCGATGTTCGTGTACATGCTCTGTACGTCGATGGGTATTAAAATGGTGTGCTCAGGGACAATTAGCATTTCCCATTACGAATAACACAGAGATTGATCATCCCCGTGCCTTCAACGAAATATCCATGTCTTCTTGCTATCCTTAATGAGAGTAATAATTCTGTGTTCCCACGGTTTTAGTTTTATTTCCCTTATTCAGATAATATTGAAAGGGTCGTGATTCAGACATATTATTATAGTTGTAGAGTTTAATATTTTCGACGAATTCCTTAATTATTTTTCTGGCAATAACTTTTGCAGTGTTTAAGCATTTTTTATGTACGTTTAATTACGCCTGTATAATTGGACAGTTATAAAATATTAGTTAAAGATACGTTCCCACAACAGTATTAATAAGGTATGTAGTTAATTCCAATAAAAGTATGGCATATGAGAAGAAGGGGCACTGGATTCCTTGAGAAACGCCCACATGTCCCTAATTGACAGTCTGTCTCATCTAATGAATGACTAAAGGTTTTGAGAACGCAGACAGCGATTAAACGGCATAGGGGTCGGCCGAAGATAAACCAAGAATTTACTTAGGCTAGGATATTTATTGTCAATTCACAGCAACTGTATATTTGTTGTCAACTGACAGCGACTAACGACAAATACAAGGTGGAAATGGATTCTACCTTAGTCAAGTCACGAGACAAACAAGGCTTCTTAAAATAGATTTATGCATCGTGGGGTAGTTTTCTTGCAATTAAAATGTTTTCAGAAGAATTTGAAGCAAACTTCTGAACTATAAATTCAGTTTATAGGCGGGAAGGGCTCTTTAAACTGTTTTTTAAAATATATTTCTTACATAATTGTAATTATACGTTGCCACTGCATATGAACTAGTGTGGGTAAAAAACCTACCACATATTTACTGTGAATAGAGATATAATTGCTGATTTGATATGATACAGGAACTGTTCTGTCTGTTATCTACCGGTAACATGTTACAATATTATATACATGCATTTGATGTATTCATGTTGTCTACATCCATATTATTGTATTATTCATACTAATGAGGATGTTGAAATGTTGTAGAATATCATTGCACGTGAAGCTTCAATAGACACAGACAATATAAACAGACAAATGTTAACACAAAAACCACCAAATTTACATGGTAATAAGGATTTTTTTTATATATTAGGTAAGCGAAATATTCAAATTTAATTTAATTTAATTTCTCTGTGTACTGAGACACTAAGGCTCGCAATTTCGATAGACATAAAGTCATCCGATTCGGGGAATGGAGGAATACCGAGCGTATGATTTGTTTTTTTTAAAAAAAAAAAGTGTTGGACAATTTAGCAATGGTTAGATAGATATGTCCATACATCCTCCTAAGCAAGATCGTAAAATATTTAACAGTTGTTTGTAGCGTTTGTAGCGTAGTTTCTGTCAGTTAAACAGAAGGAAAGAGGGCCCCCACTATCACAGCGTCTATAAGCTAGAGTTGGGCGGAAACCTGTCTGTTCGTGAAAGAACACTTCGACAAAGAGAAGACGTAAGTCGGTTATTTAGAAAAATAAGCTGTTAAAAACTATTTAATTTCATTTATTTTATGGATCCGCCTTTACAATGTACGAGGATTGACAGATGACATTAATTGCATTACTTATGTTGAAAGTTAAGATATATATTTAATGCTAGCTTCCCACTGTCGTGCGATGCGTTACGATAGGATTGCCCCCACTGGTACACGATCTGGTACGTGCAGATAAGTTCGGATACGTTTCGATACGATCAACACGATTGCTACGACTGACCTCAATATATAATAAGAGCTGATTGGATCACCACGATTAAAACTATGATTAAAACCACGATTCCACTCGTAGCGTGAATCGTAATAGTGGGAACCTAGCATTACATATCGATGCAGTGTTGAAAACTGATCCAACTGTTCTTTATAAGACTTGTATAATTCATATACATGTAATAGTAACCTATTTAGATGAGCAAGGAAAGCCCTAATGAGCAGTGCCAGCGCCCCAGCCATTATTTGTGATGAAATAAGTCTGCAGTACAATTTTAAAGCAAAGTTTTCTGGATGGCTTCGCCCTTTATAGACCCCGAATTTAAATGGAAAAAGGTTTCAAAATAGCAAATGATAAATATTTGGTGCCTTGGGAGAGTTCGCAAAATATGAGTTGTCAATAGGAAACAAAATTTAAGCAATTTTTAGACCAAAATGGGCTGAAAAATGAAACATTTTCTCGGTGGATTTGCTCCCTAGTCCGCGAAAGTGTGCGTCGGCAAAATCGCAAATGGCCTGGATGTCTAGTTGTTGTGATGGTCTAATAAAAGCGGACATACGCCATACAGTTTGCTATGCTATAGTCTACTCTTAATTTGAATTCCAATTGCCAAGGGTTCTTTTACGTGCACGTCAATGTGTACATCGGATTTTGGTTTCATGTCCAATCCGAATGACTAGATGCCGTTGCCAGGCCCTCCGTCCTACACCACTAACAAATCACGCTAGAAGACCTCGGGTATATTTTATTTGTCGGCCAATACCTGGATCGAACCCCGAACATCTTGTTTAGTGAGCCAGTGTCTTACTCACTGAACCACCGTGGTCCCCCGTATTTAAATGATTTTACTGAAGGTAATTGTAAGAAATAAAATTCCCTTTCTACCTCGATCCACTGTACGTTAATGTACAATATGCTATTTATAATTACATAACAATTTAAAGGTATAGAAATGAAATCAATGGGAGATTATCGTCATATTGTTCTGCAACGGCTTGGCTAATGAAGAAGGGCATATACAGTGGCTATGCTCTATGAGGGAAATTAGGCCCAGACAGCGACACTACGGCCTACATTTATTTCAATTCCAACTGGCGAAGGTTCTTTTACGAACATGCCAATATGTACAAGGGACCTCGCTTTTTTGCCCAATCCCAAAGACTATACCGTACCAGCCCCCCCCCCCCCCCCGATCATCTTTCTCCTTTAATACTGGAATCGAACACGGGACCTCCAAGTTAGCGAAACAATTTAAAGTATAATGACAATGTGGGTTACCGAAATTTTACCCCCTAATTTTCCTGCGTTTCTGAAAAGCAGCCTATGTTTATTTACCCTTAAATCCAAAGATTCAGCTCGACATACCTGAGTATGACAGTGTCGTGTTTGTATACAGATATAAGTAGTTTAAAGTTAGTTTTATTGTTATATTACTTACTGTGAACACATGATTTATAGTCACCGCTTTTCTATATAAACAATTATATATATGGGTAACATATGGCATGTTTAGATGACTGCTTTATTGACCTTTATACGCTGAGAAATTAACACTCGTTACAGTTTTAAAGCTACGGTCCACTTAACAAAATTAATAAAGGTGGTTTGAAAGTCAAGACGGATAAATATTTTCGAATAGGGTATAGTTGTGGGGGGAAAACGGTCACTTAATCGAGCTTTGGTTGTTGGTCAGTCCAAATGAATCATTTGAGCAACAAAAAAAACCTCTTCCTGTTCAATGAAATGTGATATATTAAAGATGGTCATTCGTCCATGGAGCCACGGTGGCACAGTGACAATGGTATTGACAAGGAACGTGGGTCTAGTATTTTAGATGGTATGTCCACTGTTGTGCACGTAAAAGATCCCTTGACAGTTGGAATTCGATGAAGAGTTGGGGGAAACGCAGTTGTTCGAGCAGATATTATCCTCATATCCTCATAGCACACCGCATGTGTTGTACCCGTCTTTAATATCCCGGTTGTAGAAAAGAAAAGCAGATTTTGTTAACCCCATCTCATTTTATTTCAGACATTGCTTAAAGGAGCTAAATCGCTAACATTTGGGACCTAGAAATTGACAAAAGTGGGTCGCAACGCATATAATACTGTAATATGAATGTATATAAACTGATTTACATTCGATGGTTTCCGTTTTTACTCCAATTTCAAATCAGTTATGTTCGGCGAAATAAGCCTACAGTCTCAAGCGAGTGCATATTTCTAGCGTCTGGTTATTCCAATGTGTCTAGCCTCGTCCATCGAGTCTCTTGATACAACTGGGGCTGAAGCGCATTATGGTACACGATTCGTGTACCAATGTTAAAATGTTTATTTTGTCTTAAATATTGGATATCAAAAGCCCATCTTTTCCCGGTAAGATCACGACATGAATGTTGATTTAATTTGACAAATAAATCGTGTTTTCAATGTTGAAGATTTTGGATGATATTGAGTTAGAGACTTAGCTACTTTAAGCGCAACGTATGTGTGTCGATAAACATATGACAGCCTTTCACAAACTGGCTATCGTTATCTCAACTAAACAACAACACAAAGTCACAACATAATCTAACATGCCATTCTGTTTACCTTATTTAAGTTTTGTTATGACTAGCTGGAGGAGAGGGTCCCTTTAATGCAATGATAATCTGTCCACGAATTCATACTGTTTTTGTTGATAGGGTCACGTGTCAAGTCAAGGTCTGTCATTGTAAGTAAGGCTTCATTTAATAAGTACAGACCTTATGACACGCAGCAAATTTGTTTCAAGGGCCAGTTTTGAAGGTTGAACTTACTGTGGGATTTATAGCCGCTTGGACGTGCACTGCAGAGATTCGTGTCAAGGATTTTGAAGCAGGTAGGCAAGTTTAACTTGGTCACAATATATATCTTTCGCTTATACAATTAGTGTAATAGGCGAGGACTTTATTGTCATCAGTCGATTCAGTATTATAATATTGGGTTCTACATGTAAAGCAGTAAGCAATCGATTAAAATTTAAGACGAGTGTATATTTGCAGTTAATGAACAAGACTATGACAAGTCTGTCGACTCACAATCTATTGTTACTAGTATACATATTGTATGTGAAGAGTTTAAAGTCATTTTAATCAATATTTTACAATGGTTTTTATAACAGTCGAGAGATCAGTTGAGACTCATATTTTAAATTGAAGGCAGGTTGATTAGTGATACATCTTGTATAGCATATTTTTGGACCAGGAACTGGTCGTTAACCGCTACTCATCTTGTCCAACTTGTTCTTATTCTTGGGGTGACGATCTTCTAAAAAGCCTAAGGCTCCCTCGATTCAAGACCGATTGACATGAAAATTGGCATCCAGGGCCCTGTTTTAGTAGATACTTCAATTTTGATTGGCTAAGCACTATAATCAATCTAATATTACCAAATCAAATTACTAAAATTTGGATTTTATCTTAGTTAAAATTTCGTGAAACAGGGCCCTGGTCCTTAGTACGATCGTACTGACACTGTTCAAAGAGTTATGACGATACCCGAAAGTCTAATTTTAAAATATCTAAACGACTTTATAGCTAAATATATCTGCGTAATTTGTCATCCACCCACAATTGTTATATTTATCATTGTGTTAAAATTTACAATGAACAGTGCACCGCGTGCAGACTTTGTAATGTGGCGAATGCGAAATAAAAAACCTATGTATGTACATAAAGTAATTGTATAAGATACGGTAAATTGTATTATGACGATATCTTTTCTTCTGATATGCTGAAAATGAAAAGTCTTTTCTTCTAACACTTAGCTGAATGATGTTTAATATAGGAATATAGAAGAATCTATTGGGTCACTGTTAGTATGAAATCTATTAATACTTATATTTTAATATCATTAATTATTATATGTCAGATAGAATGCGCAAAATCTTTAATCAATGTTTCGGAAAGGGTCATAAAAGATCGATCGGCATTCCTCGATATATATATATATATATATATATATATATATATATATATCTCGGAAATATCGGCAAATCCCACTACTACGCGCAAGCGAATTATTGAAATAAAATTGAACCATATGTTAGTCCCGAAATGACCTAGTCTCTCTCTCTCTCTCTCTCTCTCTCTCTCTCTCTCGGGGGTTGGATGGCCGAATGGTTAGCACGTGCGTGCTGTATCATAAGGTCTGTCATTGGGTCAACTGGCGTGGTTTCGAATCCCCGGTTTTACGTGACAAGGAGTAGGGTCGCCTGACCAACCTCGTGGGATTTCTCCGGGTCCTCCGGTTTCCTCCCACTGCTAGTCCCCTACGCGCAAGTGAATTATAGGAATAAAATTGAACCATGTGTTAGTCCCGAAATGACCCTATTTCGGCACTAATTTCGATTGGCTTCTGACCCAGCTGGGGGACCTCGATCATCGCGAATACCAAGTCTCGCACTTTCCAGCCAAAATGTCTACCTGTGATAATCGAGTTGCAAATTTCGAGGTTCGTTCAATATCAAGGTTTCGGTGAAGGTTGCCATCTTTGATTTGAGTGTGTTTGTGTCACAACCTCGGATTGAACCCTATCGTTCACGTGTCTGCGTTAAAGGGAGATAACGTAGCTATATGTTCGGGAATTGCAAACCAGTCTAGCAGTAGCAACGTCTAGATGTTGTAAAACTCGCGGTCCTTGCTTCAGGAACGGTACCAACCGGGCTAATGCACACGAGAATGGAAGGGAAAAGTTTGTCCAGACAGGGATTATTTTATTAACACGCCAACCTTTACACGGAACCCTCGTTTTTACGAAGACTAGACGCCAGGCCCTCCACTCTGCGCCTCTGATAAGGGCAAACAACGCAGGTAAAACACGGTGAACTCTCTGAGCCACCGTGACCCCACTATTGTTCTATAGCGCTGTCGTTGAAATTTACTCTTTGTTTTTTACTTACACTCAATACTTAATTAATACAGCAGATTCTATATATGAACATGGGTGCTTCGTTATTCAGCTTGTTATTACCCTTGAAAGTTGAACGGTTTAAGCTCTAAACAAAACCAGGCCGAGTACCTAGGCTTAAGAAAACACACCGTTACTAAATCAAATAAACAAATTAAAGAATAGATATCTGGGCTAGGTCTATTATCATAATTACAAAATACCATAAGTAATCCATAACCTATAATATAGCTTATTAATACAATTATTAAGAGGGTTATGTGAGCTGGTGTATATAGATTAACCATGATTATTGTAAAGATAACATATATATTTAATTATACGAGATCTGATTTGGCAGATGGAAATAAAATCAAATTCATTCGATTTAAATTATAGTAAAATCCTGAACCATATTTCACTTTTTCATTTTGTGATCATCATATGGAAATGTTATTTTGAAATAACATTGGAAACGTATCAACTCTACTACCAACTTTCAAAGCTCCAGGGTGGGGAGCCACGGTGGCTAGGTGGTTAAGACGCTGGCTCGCTAGCCTGGAGGTCGGGTGTTCGATCCCTGCATTGGCCGAGAAATTTCATCCAGATTTTCCGGCGTGGTTCCCCCTTGTCAGTGGTGCAGAACGGAGGGCCTGACAAGGACAGCCGTCTAGTTCTTCGAATGAGACAGAAAACCAAGGTCCCGTGTATACATTGGAATGCACGTAAAAGATCCCTTGGCAGTTGGAATTCGATATAAGAGTAGGCGATAGTGCCGCTGCCCTGGCAAAATTTCTCTCATAGCACATTGTATGGCGTATGCCCGTCTTCATTAGCCCAGTATAGGAGTAGGACGTTAAACCCCATTTCATTTTATTTCATTTCTAAGCTCCTTGGGACGCGAACCACAGGAAGACACTCGGAACCGTTCATATAAGTACAGTGGCAAGTGTGGTCACATGTTCCGGAACGAACACTCAATTTCTAAAAGAGCAGTGACATTCGGATCATGTTGCATATATATTGAGAGTCATATCTATTTGATCTAAAAATTGTTGATGCGTTTTGTAATTATCGTATTTTAGCGTAAATATATATAATAGAACAGTTGTATTAATGAAGTAAGATAGTGTCGTCTTACTTTCCTGCACGAACAGGGCTAATGAAAGACGGTATTTGTATTAAGGTTTATATCTCAAGTAATCTGAGTATAATATACACTTACGATGTTGGTTAATTTAGGTAACACTCATTGGGCTTACAGTATCAGATTTAGTTTAATAATATATTTCTGGATATGTTGACTGAAAATAGTACGTCTTTAGTTTCCTATACAATACCTTTAACGACGGGTTTCATGTTCTGATGAATAAAAGCTTTAAAGGTTTCCGTGATTATCTAAAAATAAAAACACAATATTTTTAAGTTTACTCTATTTTAAAGAAACAAGCAATAGTGTGAGATAGATTTTGATTAAATACATAAGAATTAAGCAGTAATAATATCAGAATCACACAATGTATCTATAAAAAAAATATCCATACCACACGATGTATCTTTAAATATCTGTATAACACAATGTCTCTTTAAGAGAGAGAGAGAGAGAAATGGGGTTTAACGTCCACTCGACAAAACGAGGTTTGACAGGCGACCCTTCTCCTTGTCACGTACAACTGGGGATTCGAAATCACGCCAGTTGACTCAATGATAGGCTTTATGATACAGCGCGCACGTGCTAACCATTCGGCCATCCAACCCCCCTCCCCCTGTCTCTTTAAATATATGTATCACACAGTGTTTCTTTAAATAGAAACATAATGTTTTTGTTATTGATATATTTCTACACCTATTTTTTTTAAAGTCAGGTCAGTTATAATGTTTCTAAAATAAACTGTATGCCGTAGATGTTTACTAATTAATCATCTTACAATGTACAATTTATAGTTTATTTCCCAAACGGCAAACTAATATGTGAATAAATAGGGTTTAACGTCCTACTTGTCTGCTCCAACCGGGATAATGCAGTGTGTTATGAGGGTTATTTCATGTGCACGTCAAGGCGTACCCGGGACCTCGGTTTTCTTGCTATAATTGTTCAAAAATGAATAATTTGAAAATTTCATTCAAATTACTCTATTGCGAGCGAAGATTTGAAGATTTGACAAGACGTGTGCAATAATTTCAACCACCGTATTGGTTGTTCGAAGCTAAGTCTCGGCCCTCCATTTTTAGCTTAAATCAAAATATGGCTGAACTGTTCTAATCTATTTAATATCGGAGAAATCCGATGCCATCGAGAGTTGATTATGGCCTGGATTAGTTAATGAATGCCTAATTAATAATTTAGAAAACATTTCAGGCCTAAAGAAAGACCTGCAATAAGCAGATTTAGCTTTTGCATAATGTATGTTTAAGTAGATAATCTCTCCATTTTTCTAACCATATATTATATAATATATATACTGAAATATTATGTTAGTTGTTACCGTCGTTGGTGTATAAGGGTGGTTATTGATAAATGATAAGGTCAGCTAGGCCACGAGATGTAAACAGGGCTAGCGCTAATCCCAACCCTAACCATAACCCTGGACCTAGCCGCAATCTTACCCTAACCCTAACCTATAATCTCACCAACAATCACGTGCCCTAACCTTATTTACGACCTTGACAAAAATTGAGATGGCCTTAACAAATAGATTTAGCCGTATGGGGTAGCTCGAACCGGGGAGTAACATAATCCTACAGCTTTCGGTTTCGGAGTTATGCTACTTCCGCTGCATGACTGGTAATACATAAAATGTGATATTCATGAGTAGCTACTGAGCTAAGCTTCTCCAAGCGTGTTCACTGTTTACTGTGTAACGTTTATCTTCTCAAGCCCAGATTCGGTAAGCCCAATTTGTAATGATATAATCTCTTTTGTAAATTTGGTTTGCCGCTCGTGGTATAACC